ATCAGTTGATGGACATTTGGATTGTTTACAGTTTGAGGCTATCATGAGTAATTTCACTATGTACAACTTGTGTGGAGAATTTGAATTATCTTGTGTATATACGTGATTGAGATTGCCAGGTCCTATGGAGCTCTGGTAGCATAGTCCCTAAGGCATTTGACTGCTAACCAGAAGGCTGGTGGTTCAAACCCACCATCCACTCCTCAGAAGGAAGGTTGGACAATCTACTTCCTCAGTGATACAGCATTGGAAACTCAAGGAGGGGTTTATATGAGTCAGATCCAATTCGGCAGCAGTAAGTTTGGTGTTTTTGGTTTTTATGGTAACTCTAAGGAGCCCTGGTGGTTCAATGGTTAAATGCTCAGGGGCTAAATGAAATGTTGGGTATTCCAATCAATCAGTGGCTCTTTGGGAGAAAAGATTTGGTAATCTGTACCCGTACAGATGCCCCCCTAGGAAATGCTATTAAGCTATTTTGCTCTGTCATATATGATCTCTGTTAGCCACAATTGACTCAAACACTGATAACAACAATGTTACCTCTATGTTCAGTTTTCAAGAACTGCTAAAATGTTTTGCATTTCCACCAGAAATAGTTGAGGGCTTCGTTTTCTCTGCTTCCTGGTCAACATTTATTTTCATCTGTCTGTTTTATTTTGGTCACCTTAGAGGGTGTGACGATCTATCACACTGAGATTTTAATTTACATTTACCTATTGACTAAGAATGCCAAAGATCTTTTTATATGATTATTAGACACTTACAAATCTTCATTTGAGAAATGTCTATTCAAATTATTTATACATTACATAACTCTTTGTTAATTGTCTTGCTTATATGTTCTGGATATGAAACCTTTATTATACATATGATTTACAAATACTTTATTTGATTTTGTGGGTTATCTTTTCATTTTTTTAATAGGGTCTTTTGAGATACTTTTTTTTTTTAATTTAATTACTATGAAATCTAATTTATCCAGTTGTCTTTGGTTGTTTGTATGTTGGTGTGATATCTAAGACACCATTGCCTAGTCCAGTGTCATGAAATTATATCTATGTTTACTTCAATTAATTTTAGAGTTCTTTTTGAGAATAATTTATATCTAATGAATAAATTTTCCATTTGTACTTTCAAGATTCTCTCTTGAGCTTTAGCTTTTGATAGTTTCACTATAACACATCCACACAAACAAGTATGCAATTCTTTTGTGTTTCTTGTACTTTGACCTTGCTGATTATATATATGCAGATTAATGTTTTTCATGAGATTTGATAAGTTTTAATCATTTTTTTTTCAAATATTTCCTCTTCCTTTTTTTCTCTATATTCCTCTTCTGAAGCTCCTTTATAAGATTTTGGTACACTTTATGTGTCCACTGTTCTCAGAGTTTGTTCATTTTTGTTTTTCTTTCTACTCTTCAGACTAGAAAGTATCAATTGCCATATTTTCAAGTTACCACATTCTTTCTCTGATATTTAGATATTGTTATGTCCCTTTAATTAATGCTTTTTCATTTCAATTATTATACTTTGAGTTTGAGAATTTCTACTGATTCTTTTATATGTGTAGTTGTCTACCTCTTTCTATACGAGCTTTTTTCTATTTGGAAAGATATTATTCTCCTGCTTTTGTTCAAATTTTTGGCTATAAATTTCTTAGTTCTTCTAATATATTTATGTAGCTAAATTAGAATCTGTTTCTAAGAAACCAGTATCTCGGCTTGCTCAGGGACAGCCAATACAGACTGTGTGTTTGTGTTTCCTGGTTTTTTATATGTTTTATTTATTTTTATTGCTTTTGCTGAAAAGTACACATTTTAAGTGATATAATCTGGCAACTGTGGGGATAAAATCTTCCTCCTCCCATAATTTCCTGGATTTACTGTTATCAAAGTTTATTGTTTTCATCATTTATTTAATGTCCTTACATCTCTCTTCTTCATTGTGTGTGTCCACTGAAACTTCTCAGTTACTTCAGTGGCCTGTTAATGATTGGACAGATTTCTTTAAATGACTTGAATCGTTAAATCACGCAGACTTTGTTGATGTGCTTTTTTCTGTTTTATATCATGTATTTCGTGCTTCTCCAGGGAATTCAAAACTCTGCCTTAGCCTTCATTTCCTGCTTGTGCAGAGCCTCAAGATCAGCCAGAGACCAGAAATTAAGGATTCTCTTGTTTTTAGTACACAACATTGTCCTTCACATATGCATGTCTTGTAGATTCCTAGGAATATGCAGAGCTTTTCAAAGTCCCCTATGGATATCTCATACCCAGTTTTCTCTTTTTTCTTTTGTTATTTATTATTATCCTGTTGTTATTCTCAACTGGGATCTCTACACAGAAAGCTGTGAGATAAACAATCACTACTGATTATTTTCAATATGGGACTTAGGGGTGAGACTTTTCACACAGGGAGAGCTCTAAGTTTTGTTCAGCTGAAGACAAGTCCTAAGAATAGAGGTATTCAGGATGCTGCTGAACCGAACAAATAATTACAGTTTTATGTGGATGAGGCCATTGGAGAGCTCAGAACCTGTTCTTCCCCTGCTGCAGTGTCAGCTATATATGATGGTTTTCTCAGCTAGCATAATTGAAAGACTGTTGGTTTTCAAGGTTACTTGGAACTGTGGAAAAAACAATACAGAAGACAAATTAAAATGTGACAAAGCTCACTGTTCTTAATAAGAATCAATATTTTTTTGAACAAGTGCCCTGTGAATTTGTTGCATGCGTTTGTTTAGTTTCCAGAGTTCTGAAAATGTTGTTTTTTTTTTTTTCCCCCAGTGGATTAACTGCCTAAGAAGCCCTGGTGAACAAAATTTAGGCATTCATGGTTTGAATCCACTTAGTGGCTTTGCTGGAGAAAGACCCAGCAATATGTTCTCATAAAGATTACATCATACAAAACCCTATGGGATTTCTACTCTGTGACATGGGGTTGCTATGAATTGAAAATTGACCCAAGAACATCTAATGAACTAACAACATTCACTTCTTGTTCTAACATCTTTATTTTGGTGTTCCAGGGGGTATTTCTTAGATTTGATTTTGACCAGTAGTCTTATACCGATTGTTTTGCTTTTGTTTTTTCATTCCTCCAAAACAATTTTTGCCAGTCATTTAAAATGGTATGAGTATTTTATTCTAATGTACTGATGTTTTGGTTACCTAGTAACACTCTGACAGGAATATATAACAAATGGGATGGCCTTAACAAACAGGAGTTTATTCTCCTACAATTTGGAGGCTTTAAAACCAAGTTCAAAGTGCCAGGCTTTGGGGAAAGGGTGAAATCCCTGCAACCTTGGGCTTCAGCTCTGCCTCCTGTTCCCAGCCCACTGGAGCTAGAGGCTTTTCTTCACTTAGACAGCTGCTGGCTGCTGAGGCTGACAAGCCTAAGGTTGACAAACAAAAAGGCACAGTTCTGATGTTACCAAATCACATGGCAGGCCATTAATTCAAGTCCATCGAAAGTACCAAGGTCAGCAGACCATGACAGGCTGCTGAACAACAACATGGCTACATGCAGGATTCAAGCATGCCATAAGCTAGAGACCTTTCACAAAGCTGCTTCTTATATATGGGAAGCAGACCACATCCCTAAAGCAGCTACTCAGTTGCTCCAATACATTCCACCAGGGACTTAATTACCAGTCTTGCCATGGAGAATAACTACATCCAGGTGCCCAGCCACTCAACCTGGCCAAATTAATTGACACAAAAACTTAACTACCACAACTGGTTATTTCTAGACTTGAAATATTCTGTTCTCTTGATTTGGCTATGAATTTTGCTACTAAGAACAAATTGATGCAGTGATTTTATCAGGGGATATATATTATTAAAATATATAAAAATTTGAGTGACATCCAAGGTGCAACTATTTTTTTTTTTCCCCATCTGGAGTAAAAAAGAGTGAAGAAAATAAAAGACACATGGAAACAATCAGTCCAAAGACCAAATAGACCATGCAAACCTCAGTCTCCATGAACCTGAGACCAGAAGAACTAGACGGTGCTCAGCTACAAATGCTGAGTGCTCTGAAACAGATCACAAAAGAAGGTCCTGGATAGAGTGAGAGAAAAGTGTGTAACAAAACTCAAAAGAATTAAAAAAAAAAAAAATCCAGGTTACTGGTCTGATAGATATTGGTGAAAACCCCAAGGCTGGGGGCCTTAGACACCATTCAGCCTGAATGTAACCCCATGGCTCAACCTTAAGCCAAGCTATAGACAGGTCTATAAGGTAAGCTATAACATCAGAGGGATACATGCTTCTTATTACAACCATATGAGATTAATTAGTTAATTAATTAATTAGAGATTAATCTCAGATTAAATGTATGAAATTTATAGGGCATCATTTGCGCAGGGATAAAGCTCAGAAGGCAGGAAAGAAGAATGGATGGGAGTGGTAAATATAGTGAGGAAGTTGGAAGTGGGAAGCTATTACATTGCAATCAATATGAGTCGGGGCCGACTCGATGGCAAACAACAACAACAACAACAACACCACAATCAAAATGTGTATGAAATTTTGACTGGAAAACTAAATTGTTATGTAAAATTTCAACTAAATTACATAAAAAGAAAAACAAAATATATAAAATCAATGCATAGTTACAAGTGTCAACAATATTAATAAGAGCTGATTGATTTATTTTAGCTACAAATTAGAAAATGTATGGTATAAGTTTATTAATATTAAGCATGTAATTAAAACAAATATTTGGACTTTAAATAATGTTATATATAGATGTATATATTTATAATAAATATCTAAAACTTACATTCATTAATGAGAGTACAATTTTTAAAATGTCTTAAGAGAATTGTAATTATAGGTCCTCTACTTTATAAGGCTAATGATGATCATTATGATAATTTTAAAACAATAATTAAAAAAATATGCTCCATAATAAACCTTTAAAAATTCTATTTTTACAATCTGTTTTAAATATAAACCTTGTTTCATTTTATTTTTATTTTTTCTATAGGATTTTGGAGATGACGGATCCTTGTATATTACTAAAGTTACCACAACTCACATGGGCAATTACACCTGCTACGCAGAGGGCTATGAACATGTCTATCAGACTCACATCTTCCAAGTAAATGGTAAGAAGTGTGGTATTGCTATATATATGTTTGTTTTGCTTCACTAGCTGTTCAAAGAATATCATTGTTGATTAGGAACGTAAGGATTCCATTTTCAGTGTAATCAAGGTTTCAATAGTTTTCATTTTGGGACTTAATATTTCTCTGAAAGCTCTCTCTCTCTCTCTCTCTCTATATATATATATATATATAAAGTACCCAAGTGAATATATACTATAAATTAACACTACTTTTAATCATGAAATTTTAAATAGTAACTGTTTTTAATTGAAAGATCAAAGCTTGGAAAATTTAAATAACTTTTTCAGTTTTAGAATATCAACAATTAAGCAAATGAATAAATTTTGGAAAGTGAAAAATTATAGTTTAATCAGATCATCTACTTAGTTATTACTTAATGATAAACTTGTTATTTATGTACAACAGATTTTATACTCTTAATTATAAATTCAATGGCTATGAACATGGCCAAACTGGGTGATATAATCCTTACATTAGAGCTTTGCTTTATTCCTTATATATTTCAAATTTGTTAAGTACCTGAATTGACATAGGATTGCAAATATACATTAATAAGCAAGATCCATTTCTGTAATATTTACTCTATGATTTCATAAAAGATGGCAAGACTTTATAAGATGGCTGGTGTGATTGACATGAATGAAGACAAAATTGGTATAAAATTAGCTTGGAGAGGTAGCCTGGGTTCAGATCATTTAGAGCACTGGATGTAGGCAAATATTTGGGTTCTCAGTCTAAGTGTAATTCAAATCTAGTAAAGAGTTTTGTTAACGGAGTGATTCATGCTGATTTTTTTTTTTTTTTTCCTCCAATGAGTTGAAGTACTGGGATATGTTAAAAGGCTATTTTATTTATTTAAAAAAAATAAAACAGTAGTTTAAAATATGACATTTATGGTGGACTGGTAAAGAAGTAGTCATATTTTGAATATAAGTTGAAAGTAGATCTGAGAATACCACTGATAAATGGCATGTGGGTGTGAAAGAAAAGTATATTTATAAAAAATGAAAATAAGAATTGGAAAGAAGCAGTTGGATATATGGTGGTGTCATCAACTGCAGTGGAGAAGCAAAAGATGGGAGATTGGGTGAGATTAAAATATTATATATAGTGTTACATATGTGTGTATGTGTGTTTGTTTGTGTGTAACATATTACCTTCAATCTTCAATATAGTTATCCAGATGAAAAAGTCAAGTATCTAATGGAGTATATAAATTTGGAGATCAGAGAAGAGTGACAGTGCAAAGTTGTATATTTAAATGCTATTAATATATATAGGAGCTCTGGTAGCATAGTGCCTAAGGCACTTGACTGCTAGCCAGAAGGTTGACGGTTCAAACCCACCAGCCACTCCTCGGAAGAAAGATAGGACAATCTACTTCCATAGTGACACTGCCTCGGAAACCCAAGGAGGGGGAGCTATGAGTCGGGTATGACTCTATGGCACATAACAACAACAACATTAATACGTATAGACTATTTTTAAAGCCATAAATCTAACCATTGCAAGATAACCTTAGAAATGAGTATAAATGGATCTCAAGTTAGAGAACTGAGCCTAAGGCTGAGGTTAACAAACAGAAGAGAAAAGAAGTTTCAGGATGAATATTCTTTGATGAGTATTGTATGTACTGGGAAAATATTTAGACAATTTTGGAAGAAGTTTGAAAAAATAGAGGAATCTATGGTTTTTGGCACTCCATAGAAACAGATATAGGCCTTGGCCACTGGTGCAAAGCCAGTGGTCCACTTGACATTGGTCAAGGCTTTGAACTTAACTTCTGAGAAAACCTGTGAGGAAACTAAGAGAGATGTGAAGAGGTTGATACTTGTTACCAGTGGCCCCAGCTGTTTGAAGTTGGACTTTCAGATAGAGCAATTGTACCTACTGACATAATAGCTCAGGAGGACAGATGAAGTATGTGACGGGGTGCTTCCTATCTAGCTGCCACATTAATGGGGAAAGGATTGTTCTCAGATTGGTCCTCACCTTCCCTTTTACAGTGATTCTTTACTGACTATTGGTATATTTTACAAGACTAATGCTTTGCTTTTCCTTTTGTTGTGGTTGGTGTTTTAGTCTTCTTCTTCTTCTTCTTCTTTTTTTCTTCCTTAGTGTTAGTGAGAGGAATTCTCCAATTTCATATTTGTGTTCCTTAAATTTTTCAAAAAAGATTTTCACAAATACACATTAACAGGAAGTGGGGAAATTTCGTGGAAGTATTGGCAACATACTACATTCTCATTAGAGACATAAAGCAGGTAGCACTGTCTGTTACTTTTTTTTTTTTATGTTTGCTACCTTTAACCTGGTATATTTTTCTCAACTTTATCTTGTAAATATTATTTTTCATGTAATCTTAGTGCCTCAAGTAGGATCGATTAATTCTTCAACCTCTTGTCCTCACTTCTCTCCCTGATTATTGATACTTTCAGTCTATGTACCAACTGCACTCATAGTACTTTATGTCCTTTTTAGAGTAGTATATTTTCCTATGTCATGAAAAAATAAAAAATAAAATGCAAAACACTGGTCTTTATTCACACTTTTTGGAAGTTGGATTTCAAATCTGCATTTTGACAAGCTTCCTAGTAATTGTGATGAATGATGAAGTGTGAAACTCATTCTAAAAGCGTGTCATCTATTCACTCATGTCTACTTCAGTTTTCTTACATAATTCACTCATTTGCCACAATTCCAGCTGGGATACTCAGGAAGAAAACTTTGAGCCAAACTGGAGGCTTCATTGTTGCAGGATATGACCAAGTGCAGCATCGTTCCTTCTGTGAATGGACCATTATCATTTTCTGATCTCAGGTTTTCCAGAAGACATTTTTAAGAATTAAAAAATAATAAATTTCAAAATAGGCCTTCCCATGATATGCACACTGTAGTAGTTATGGTTTCGTGTCAACCTGGCTGAACCATAATTTTGAGTAGCTGGGCAGCTGGATGCAGTTATTCCCCATGATGAGATTAAATGTGGTGTCATCAACTCCATGGTGGAATCTGCTGTGAGTGCTACTTAGTTGCCTTCGGGATATGGCCAGCTTCCAGTAAATGAGACACTTTGAAAAAGGTCTCTAGCTTTTAGCATTGTGGACCATGCAATTGGCTGAGTCTTCATCCAGTGACCTGCCAATTTTGGAATTGTTCCTGGACTTAAACCAGTGGACTTCCTTGTGCTTGTTGAACTTGGGAATGTGTCATTTTACTCTCTATCCTTGGGTTCATCAGTCTCAGTAGCCAGAAGCTGCCTGAGTTAAAGAAGCCTCCAGCTCCAGTGGGCTGGGAGTAACAGGCAGAGCTAAAGCCCAAGCTCAAAGGACCTTTTCCTAGCCCCTAGATCTGGCACTTTGAACTCAGACTTTTAGCCTCCTAAATAGTAAGAGAATAAATCCCTGTTTATTAAAGCCATTCTCATGTGGTAAGTCTTTTTTAGCAGCACCTAAGAACCAAACTACACAAATCAGACTTAACATTATGAATTAATTAAAGGAAGTTCAATATTAGCAATGGTTGCTTATGCAGAACTACAATGCTTTCCTTTTTTAGAAACATAGATTCCTGAATCAGTATCTCAAAAGAGTATAAAGTCAGTCTCTTTCTACTGCCCTCTCCAATATTTAAACTGTTTTGAGGTTTTCATAAACAGATATGGATTTAGGAAGAATGATGGAATTATCACTGCTGAGAGGGCAAACAAGATGAGGAGTATAATTTAAGCATCAGAATTGAATCCTTGAATGTAATCAATGAGGTGACAAGGTTTTGTCAAGTGTTAGGAGAATAAAAAGTGGGGAAACAACACTGGTATTTTTTCAGGGATACTATCACAGGGAATGTCAGCTGAAAGTTGTATAATAGAACACTGTGAAGATTGATATGGAATCGAGAAATTTCTAAAAAAAATAAAAATAAAAGTATGACAGCAATATTTTATGCTTATATGAATAATTCAGGAAAGATGAAAAGAAATCATCTAAGATAAAGAAGGAATAAAAATAGGAGTCAAGTCTTTAAGAAGTTGACATGATATGGTCCACAGATGGGGGGGTTGGTCTTTGAAGATTCACAGTTCATCTATCAAAACAGAAAGGAAAACAGATGGCTTAAGGACAGATACTATGGGTTGGAATAAGAGGAAATCCTCTTTGCATTGCTTATATTATTTTCAGTGAAATGAGAAATGACAACCACTGCAAATGAGGAATTTGTGGGAGCTTAAGTGGTTTGAGGAAAAGAGATGTAAAATAATTTTCTTGTAGGGCAGGAGAGTATTGGAAATAGCAAAATATAGTTCTTATATTGCTCAGAGCTTGGAGTGCTATTTAGGTAATTTTAAATTTAAAAGAGAAATGAATAAAATTAACCAGCATATTGGTATCTTTTATTTCACTAGTAATTGGCTGTGAAGTAGCAGTTTAGGAAAAAAAGAAAAGATTTGAATTTAACCAGAGATTTTGTTTGTCAGGTGAGTAAGTGGTATAGAGACAGTGGTGAGTAATGTGAGTAAGTTTATTAGTGAGTGATTATAGTGAAGTGCCAGTAAGTGCTAGGTTAGGATCAAAGTGAAGTCATGAGAATTTTGATAGGAAATTAGAAATTGACATTGACTGTAGGTCCCGGTTCAGTCAAATATAACTAGAACAGACGGCAAGAATTAAACATATGCAACAATTACACTTAAAGCATTTCTCTGCATTTGATAAATTCTAATTTAAAAACTGTTTTTAACTTGATCAAGTCTGTACAAAGAGAATCATGGACCCCTAAGGTTTGCTTAGTAAACTTTTGCTGAAGATAATTGAAAAAAAGTTTGCAGAACTTCATTAACAGAGAGCATTTACAAATTCAAACTGGATTCAGAAGAGGATGTGGAACAAGGGATGTCATTGCTAATATCAGATAGATCTTGGCTGAAAGAAAAGAATTACAGAAATATGTTTATCCGTGTTTTATTGACTATGCAAAAG